GCTGGAACATGTGAACATGAGGAAAAACTTTTTTACTGTGAGGGTGACAGAGCACTGGAACAGGCTGCCCAGAGAGGTTGTGGAGTCTCCTTCCCTGCATACATTCAAAACCAACCTGGACGCATTCCTGTGTGACCTGGTCTAGGTGATCCTGCTCTGGCAGGGGGTTGGACTGGATGATCTTTCGAGGTCCCTTCCAACTCCTGAGATTCTGTGATTCCCTACTAACCCAGTAAGAACCTGTAGGGAGGCTGCTGCCCTGATCACTGATTTACTGCACCTGTCATAAAGTACAGGCTTTCAGTCCCTTCGAAAGACAGAAACTGCAGAATTAAGACACTCAGAGAAAGTGTCCAGACACTTGTACTGGGAATACCAGGTGCAACAAACACATTTAGCTAAGACACATTAGCAGTGATCTTCCCAAAAACAACCCAAAAGCTCACCCCTCGAATAAGTTCTTATGCTACATTGAACAATTACATTTCTTCATTTTTTCTCTTTCCACACCTGTCCAAGCTTGATAGCTTTCTCTGAAATCCCCTCCCAAGCTATGCATTTCAGTCCAAACCCTTTTGCTTCCCATTAGAAGCCACTTAAAAGTGAGCTCTCTTCTTCTACAGGGGATGAAGGCAAACTTACATCAGTGACAGGCTTCTCCTTGCTCACTTATTCTTCCTTCCTTTAATCCATCACAAAGAAGAAAGCAAGCATTATTGCTTTTCTACAGCTTCATACCTTTACAGATCATCAGTTTAAAAAATGCAGAGGCCATGTGCAGTTATACAAATAGCATTTGCTCAGTTTGGAGAAACCAAAGGAACTGGTCATGCTAGAAAAAGCTGCTCTTGTGTGGACAACTGAGGATGAGGCCTCCTAGGCAATCTCTTTTTCTCCCCCCCCCCCCAATTATTTTTCACTGGGAAAAATTTAACAAAAAAATTTCAATATCTCTATTTTTCTGCTAAAAAAGCCCACAGCAATACAGACAAAATCAAATGCTTGAATCTTGTGTGTTTACAAATCAAAGACAAGAAAGTGACCAGAAGAAGAGACTCTGATAGGAAATATCAATGGTCAACTGTATCTATAAGAAAGAGTAAAGCATGAACTCCCAAAGAGGTTCTGCATCCTTGTGAATCTAGCAGCAAGTCTCAAGTTAAATACTGTAATTGGACCAATCATTAGTTGCTGTTCAGCCTCCTGCCTCCAGCCCGGAAATTAGTCTGCTCAGAGCCCAGACAGCTGAACAAGCAGTTACGTTTTATCATATAACTGAGGCCGGGAGGCCAATCTGAAGAAAAGCCACGTATGTTCTGTATTAGGAAGAAAATACTTGATCTAAAAGAACCTAATTTACAGAACAACAAAAAGTGTATATTCAAAACGTAGTGATGTAAAAAAATTAAAAAATCTCTCATAATTCTCATGTGATTTAAAAGTTCAAAATCTTAAACTATAAAATTACAGTTAAAGAGTTATGAACTGCTGCTAAACTCCATTTAGAATTAAACTACAGTCTCTTGCTGTGAACTATTATGGCAGCTATCACAACCAACAGATTAAGAAATCATTGCCTTTTGCTTTTTTTTTTTGAGTGCATAAACTTCTTACTAGGTTAAAGCATAAATTAAGAATTACTATTGATAGAATAGGCATTTAATTTAAGGCATCTTTTACAGTTTTTTCATGTATTCCAGGTCATGCAAAGGCTAAAAGATTAATATATACAGTTACTATATTAGAGACTTTTTGTAGTAATTACCAGGATATACTGCAGGAGTCATCTTTCATCAACTAAATCATCGTACAATAAATTAGTAAGTACTCCTTTTTTTGAACATGAGAAAGTCTAGGCAGCACCAAGGTAAGAGACTAGGTGAAACTTTACTTAGCCCTGCCCATTGTTGTAAAAGCATATTCAATCATATTAGATAAGCAAATTCTATATGCAACTACAAATATTACATATAGGCTATATTTCTGTGACAGTGACAGAAGGAAGCTTGGCTTACTACTGCCAATTTCAAGTGAGGAAATTTCAACTCCAATTGTAACAACTCAATTCCCAAATAACCATGCAAAGTAGCTTAAATCTCATGTAACAACAGCATTCTACGCATACAATTAAAAGGCTAAGATGTTCAGGCACAGCTAAGAAACAGCGATGCCAAAGTACTAGTGTTTAATTCCTTTACGTGGCTTGAATTCTGCAGCTTAAATTTTCACAATGAATTATAAGAAAGCAAACTTCACTGCTTCCATCAGGGTAAAAGTGCAGTTACAATACTCATATTAGAATAATTTAAACAAGTCAACTTATTTCAATTATAAGTATTGTTATTAAAAACTCTGAGCCATCATCACAGGTGGAGTCTGTCACATCTATTAACATGATTCCACAGTCCTGAAGCTAGTCAGAGAACAGAAACAAATCTTAAACAGAAACAACTGTTTCTGTCTGGGACAAAAAGCAAGCTTACCAAGTTGTCTGGCAATAAAGAAAAAAATAAAACTGAATGAACTCAATAAAAAGGAAAAAAATAAATTTTACAGTTAATAATTAATATTACAGTTCTATCATGTTATAGCTGAACTATAACTATCATCCATCTTGGATACATAGACTGTTCAATTTGGATAAATGTAAGCTCCATCTGAATCAACACTCATACAATGAAGCAAACCCAACACTGCCTAATCCCTTGAAAATCCATCCTAAACTGACAGATTTGGTAGTCTCTTCTTTTAGCAAGATGACAGCTGTATGTTCTACAAAGACATATTTCTGAAAATGGCTGTAAAGATTAACAGTTTTTAACAGAATAACACTTCCTATTTCCCCATTAACCAAAATAGAAAAGATTTGAGTCCTTGTGTTTGAACTACAGAGAACAGGCTGGATGTAACACACAACAGCAAAAGCTTAAACCAACAGTGATGAACAGAACACTGTATATCTGGTTTAACAGGCAATTAGAGACAATGAAACAAATTCATCCTTTACATTTCTCTGTTGCTTGTGACATCTAGTGGGTATACAAAACAGCCTGGAATAGCAAATAAAAAATCCTGCTGTTTCAATGCTTGGTTTACTTATTTTCTTCACCTATATGGAAATTATTTCCATTTCACAAGCAGCAAATGTAAAGAATTATGCAAGATATTTTCACAATTTATACACTGTTTTGAGCACTTCAGAGCTGAATATGAAATGGAGAATTCCACAGGATTGCTTTTAGAAGCCATTTCTAAACACATGAATAACAAGAAGGTATTTGGGAGCAGCCAGCATGGGTTTACCAAGGGCAAATGTCATCTCTGCTTTCAACCCTCAGGTCACTGATGCCAAGGAGAAGGAAAGCGCAGAGGTTGTTTCTTGACTTGAGTAAGGCTTTTGAGACAGGCTCCCTTAAAGATATTGTTGTTGGTGAGATACCGGCAGAGTAAGTGAACAACATATAAAGTGAGTGGAAAATTTGCTGGACTGGCGGATTGAAGGGTTGTGGTCAGCAAAGCCCAGGTAGGGGCCATGAAACTAGTGAAGTTCCTCAGAGATGAGTACTGGGATAAATAAGTTCAGTATCTTCATTAACAATCTGGGTGATGGTACAAGAATGTACTCTCAGCAAAACTGCAGATGACACCAAATTTGGGACACCAGTCAATATGCTGGAGGACAGGGCGGCTACTCAGTGCAATCGGGCATCTTAGAAAAAATGAGTGGACAGTTATGTCATTAAGTTCAGCAAAAGCAAAGGAAGTCTCCTATCTGGAAATCAATAACCTGATGGAACAACATGGGTCAGGGGCTTCTTGCCTGCAAAACAGCTTTGAGAAAAGGATTATGGGGGTCCTAGTAGACAACAGTCTGGACATAGAGCCGCAGAGAAGGCCAGCTGCATGGGCTGTATCAGGGGAGGGCCACCAAATTGGTCAGGGAACTGGAACTTGCCCTGTGTGGAAAGGCTGAGGGATCTGAGTTCATCCAGCCTTAAGAAGAGAAGATTTCAAGGGGACTTTATTGCTGCCTATAACTACCTGTTCAGAGGATTCAGAGAAAATAAAGCCAGACTCTTCTTGGAGGCTCACAGCAATAAGACAAGAGGCAACAAATACAAGCTAGAACATACAAAACTGCAATTAGGTTTTAAGGTTTTGTTGGTTTTTTTTTTTCTGGACCAGGTTGCCCAGAGATGTTGGGGAATTGCCATCCCTGAAGGTGTTCAAAACCTGACTGGCCACGTACCCGAGCAGGCTGATCAGGTCAGACCTGCTTTGAGCAGGTATTGGACTAGATGGCTTGTGGAGGTCCCTTCTGATTAAAACTCTTTATCAATCTAAGAAGTCCACCTCTTCCTTGAGTAGGTGTCTCTCCTACTGCTAATGTGAATTAAAAATGTCACTTTATTTTCTATTTAAGAAAATTATCCCATCCCGCTTTTTAATGTTGATAAACTTTTTAATATTTTAAAGGATTTAGATAACAAGGCATACTAGTATTCAGCATTTCACACTATGGTCACTCAGTTCTTCAGTACCTTTTTCTATGAGAACATACATTTGCAAACACACTGACTTGGAGAAAGACAAAGAATAGTATTTCCACTAAGCTCTTCAGCATCATCATTGACTATTCTTGAAAACTTCATGTTAAAGAATATAGACAACATTATTGTCAAAACAATAAAGGAGGATTGTCAAAGCAATCCTCACTCTATCCACTGACTAAAAATTCATTCTAAATAGACAACAATTTGGGTTACACTTGTTGGTTTGCTGCACACGGAATATGTTCTACAATTGTATCTAATGTTGAGTGGTTCTGTATTACTGGTTTTAGAAACTGATCTCAGTATTACCATGACCGGTTCTTTTTTTTGCTCCATTTCTGACTTGCTTCTAGACAAAAGAACTAATCCGGGCAAGTATCTTTCCAAGTTCCTCTTTTGAAAGAAGTGTTACACAGATAAAACAATCCTTCAGTTAGTAACACTTACCAATTCTAACACTATCAGCAATTTTGGTGTAGTGGTATTTCACGCAGCTGAGAGCAAAAGATAGCTCATCTTTTAACTATTATATGAACAAAATAATCAGGCTAAATTAGCTCAAATTCCTACCAATTGCAACAGCTTTCTACTTGCCAATCTGAAATACGGCTACCAAACTAAAAAGGAAGACACTTTCTAAAATTACAAATAATAAATTATTTACTGGAAACTTACAGTCTCAGCCAGAAAATACATAGCATAGAATGTGTGCATAGTGTATAACTGTTTATAATTTCCTTTCTTATTTCTTTCTTTTACCTCTTTCACACTGGGGGCCACTATATCCATAGACACATGCACAGCGATTAGGTCCAATGCACCGTCCTCCATTCTGGCAGCCTTTTTCACAGAAAGCTTTAATTAAAAAAAAAAATGTTTTAAACGTTATAGTAATATATTTAGAAGATTACTATATGCAGCACTGAAAAATAATTTTTGTCCTCACAAATGCTTTAAGTCTTTGTGGACATGGAGATCAAACTGATTTCTGTCCTACCCATCATCACCAACAATAATTATTATTTAAGTAAAATTCCATTAGCCCAAATTCTATTAGCACCTGTTTAATGTAGCAAGCATTTAAAGCAGAAAACAGCTGCTTAATAACCATATTAAGCACAGATTCTTAGCAGATGTTTAACTCAAGTGTATTTTTAAACAGTTGTGCTGCTCTTGTCAGTAATTATAAGAACTTCTATCCATCGCTGAAGTTACCAGATAAAAACTCAACTATTTTGAGGGTTTTCTGAGTGCATTAAGTTGTGCTATTCAGTCACAACAACAAACCTTTCAAGAAGGGAGGCTTGGGGAGTCTGTGAGACAGATAATTCAGCTCTAAGAGCCAATACTGCTGGCAGAAGAAGTGATGTTTAGAGCAACAGAAAAGAATTACCAGTTTAACTCATCTTTAAGTACCTTCCAAAACTGTGTTTCCTAAAACATCCCAATAAGAAATAAAACTAGGGGGCGGCTGGGGCAGGAGGGAGAAGGGACATAAATCCACAGTGTATATATAGATGGTAAAAGTACTTGACAGTTGTGGGGCCCCAGAGCACTCGCTCACACTACATATCAATGGTGCGAATCAAAAACAAAGTCTCTTGCCAAAGCACTGAAATCTTCTCAATTTTAAAGGAAGACAGCTCTTCAGCAAGGTTGGAAAATACCACTAAAAGACTACTTTAACCAATTCTGTCTCTTTTCAGACTCATTGTTTCAAAGATATATAGCCTTGTTCAGAACTAGCATATGTTCCAAATCAAAGTACTCCACCTAAAAGGACAGCCCTGCTGTTTCTAAGTGGTCCTGAGCAACAGCAAAGATATTTTGGTCTAGAAGTGTCTAAGTGCCTTCCTACACAGAGCTCCTCAGTTTGAAGGTGGCATATTTGAGTATCCAGTGCAAAAGAACCTCAGCAGCCTAGAGAAGGTAAATATTTCAAACTGGAAGAAATGTACACATGCCTTCTATATCACATAAAATACACTGCTATGTGTGGACTTCAGCAGGGCAAACTTTGACCTC